TCCGGGGGTGTGCAAGCAGGGCAGCGCCTCCGCCTTGTTTTCACCGTGGGGCTGGGGAAGGTTGGAGGGAACCCACCCAGGTCGTGATCCAGGCCGGAACCTGGGGTCTGGGAGCTGGTTCTGGGGCGGGCTGGGCCCATGCGCCTGCCCTGCGGCCCCCCAGCCCTGTGGGGCGGGCTGGTGGCAGCTGCTGCCAACAGATGCCTCCACTTCCTGTGGGATTAAGAATGGGGCCCTGGGGGTGGGGGTGAGTCACAGATCTGCTCTGACAGGGGCTCAGGGATGAGGGACAGGCTGTATCCTGGGCAGGAGAGGCCCAGCTCTCCTGGGCAGGGGGACGAGGTGTGGCCTGGACGCTGGACTTCAGGGCCAGCCCCACCAACGTCCAGATGCCCCGCCATCGCCCACATCCCATGAGGCCCACCGCTGGGGCCATCTTGGCAGGACAGGATGTTGGGGGGATGCCCACCCCTGCCCGGGGCCCACTGCGACGGTCCGGACCTCAGGGGAGTCTGGGGCAGGAGGGCCTCAGTGCCCTGCACGCACTGAGCTGAGCGCCTTCTCCGGAGGCAGGGCCTGCACCCCTAGGGCTCTACCTCCCAGCTCAGTGCAGGGGCACACAGTGGTGGGCTGGGCCCCCCGCCCCAGCTTCAGCGGCCCCCAGGCCTCCTCGGGGTAGGAGGTGAGCCACAGGGTCCTCCATGTTCAATGGATTGAGGCTTTCCATGCCGAGGGTTGGATGGGTGTGAGGGGCCTCCGACCATGCCCTGCAGTGTCCTCCGTGGGGCCCGCCAGCAGCTACTTGTCCCCTGAGCCTGCTGGGGACCGGGAGACGCCAAGGGCCTGCCCTGGGGTGGGGGCTGGTTTGGGGGATGGGCAAGGAGGAAGGCAGGTGGGGGTCCTGGCAGAAGGGCTCCACATGCGGGGCTTCTGGGCTATGCCGGATCCCCAGGGTGCTGGGGAGCCATGGAAGGTTGTGGACAGTGAGCAGCCTGCTCAGACTTGCATTTTGGAGTCGAGGGGGGCTGTGGGGAGCAGGATTGCGGTGGGGCTGGAGTGCAGATCAGGCCGTTGTCCCTGTGGGCCTCCCGGGGCTGGACAGATAGCAGGGCCCGGTGGTGAGCCGGGCCACTTGCCTGCAGTCCCAGGCGACAAGTCCCAGGCCTTCGCCTGAGGTCAGGGGCTGCGGAATGACTGAGGGAGGGAGGAGGCGGTGCCCGGCCTGGCTGGGCATGTTCAGAGGCCACGCCCGTCTCTTCAGAGCCGGAGGAAGCAGACTGGAAACCCCACAGACGGGCTTCCATCAAAGGCAGCCCGTGCCGCCGGCGGAAACGGGCCATCAGGAAGGGTCTGAGGGAGATAAGGGGATGGAGGGCAGAGGAAGCAGCTGGGCGAGGTCAGTGAGGGGCCCTCCTGGAGGTGGGGCGTGAAGGCCGCGGTCCTGCTCCCTCCCCGTGTGCCGGGCGTCTCCCAGGGCAGCTGCCGCCGACCTGGGTCCTCCTGACTCCCCAGACATCCCCCCTGGGTTCCCTTCCCCCGCTGCGCGCCATTGTGGGCCTGGGATCCAGACTGGCCCGTGCACCGCCCTGTCCTCGCAGCCAGCAGTCCCTACGCTGCCCACTCCTGCCCCCCACCAGCCGGTCAGGCCACTGCCCTCGGCGCTGGCCTCCCTCCTGGGGACTGTACCCCCTTCTGGCCGCCACCCATTGCGAATGGAACCCTCATGCTCCTCTCGGGTGGAGGGCCCTGGGCTGGGGATTGGGCTGCCTCGGCACCTGCTGCCCCCAGCCTGGTGTCCTGCAGGTGACGGTGGGAAGCTCC